GAGTTGATTTCGGACCAAATTATGGTCCAAAGCCCTTAGCCCAATTCCCCAGCCCAAAGTAGACAACCCCTTTTAATGAACCATGTCGGTGCCCGATTGAAACGACCCGCCCCATTCATTCCTTCTATCTTAGTCGCTGATCTCAGAGATCAATGACCCACAAACTATCTCCTATTTTTAATTAACTAACCCCAAACCCTATTACCCATTTCCTCCGAACCGCCGCTCCCAAACACTCTCAACTTACCCCTTCTCTCTTTTGAGAAACCCTAGCAGCTGCCTCCATTTTTCTCCGATTCCAACCTAAACATGGAGTCAATCCATGATTTACTTACCTATTTTGAGGTACTACGATGTTGTATACACGTCTGTGGTGTTACTTAAGTTCTTGCCTTATTTTTTGCAAGAACTATCTTCTGAGATCTGGCTTGGTTGACTCTAATTCTGTGGAGATCCAGATAATCCTTCGTATATATACATCATATAATGAAGGATCCTTGATTCTTGGTTCGATTCTCAAATGCATAGACCCAACTAAGGTTTGAGAATCTCATTCTCCTTTGCCGATTTTGATTACATAAGATATGTTCTTTCCTTCTTGTGTTTGATTAATAATTTTTCATGTCTGTCTGCTTAATTTGAACACTATATAAACCCATTCCCCGTTCCTCTTCTAGTATCTAACATGTACGGCTACAACTACTGTTATCACTATTGTTATCCTCTCACTCTCATTCATTTTATACTATTATGAGAATTTTGATTTTAGCCGGCTGAAAGCCAAGGCCACCGAAATTCGTTCATTAGCCTCCTCCAGTGAAAGCACTGCTCGGAGCCCACTTCGAGGCTCTTGTGAACTCTGAAGCACTGGAGATTTGGGATTGTCCTACAATCACCGCTATTTTTTAGATTTTGAGTTTCTCATTCTTTGTTCGCTTTGTTTGCAACTGGTTAGTACTTCATACCCTCGCAATTCTACTTCCTTATGTTTGTGCTTGCGATATGTGCACTGGTGCTACTTGAATTTCTTTGAGTTAATGTAATTTTGATATTATGTTGCTTCGTATACAAGCATGTTTGTGTTAATAACATTATGCAGTGTCAATAGCTTCAACTCTGTTCAAGTCCTGATTTTAACTCATGCATAATTAGCTGAGTTAATTCATGACGTTTGCTTGGTTCATAATTAAACCTGATTGATGTCCGTTGCACCTTGTTTTGATTTCTTGTATTACAGGAAACTATGTTCCTGCTCATAATTGCTCTCTTCCTGTTGAATCCTTTTGTGCATAACTTGTTGTTTTTCTGCAAATCATGTGACAATACCATCTAAATGCTTAGCCTAATATGCTCCCCTGCCACTGCTAGCCTTAATGCATGCCCATATATATGTCCAACCTGAATGATTTCTAATCATTATATTTATGTATTGCTGGTTACTTGTACCTATTGCTTGTTATGAGTCCATGTCTTAGATTCTTGTGAGGAACTAATCCATGCCTAGCCTAATTTGTCCAAATGAACAACTTTCTGTCGAGTCCTTCATGTACAATCTGCTATTTTCTTAGAGTGAATTCATGATGAATCTATATGCTAATACTATCCCAACTAGGTCTCTTTGCTTTTTGTAAATTCTAATGTTATGCTATCACCATGTGCTCATTGATTGCTTAAGACTACTACGAGGAATCTCCATATATTCAACCTATTATTCCTATATGGCCAACTAGGATATCCCCAATGTCTATTTGACATGATAGTCTGGAGTTAAGGTATCTTCCTACCGTGATACTTTTGGACTTGAGAAACTGTGTTATACTCAGCAAGACTAGGCTTCTTATTTATTGATTGCTTGCTTGTTTGTCATGTGTAATTGCCATTCCCTGAATATGACTTCGTATGACCTTCATGACTTAGACTTTCAGGTTTTAAATCCTTTTTAGGCTGACTGTGGATCATGCTCTATTCTGAACTCATTCTGGAAAAGCTTAGCATGTTCATCTCATATGTGTCTAGTATGTTTAACCTGCTAATCCCCAAATGGCATGTCTCCCTAACTCTCATAGCATTAAATTTGTCTTTAGCATGCTATCATCTGCCTAATGGTTTAATCTATATTACATTTACCACGTTGGAAATCAAGTATGTTGGCTCTCCTAGCTTCTTGTTCTTTGCTTAATCAATCATGTCATTCTTGTTTCTGAAATGCCAATATTTTTATGAATCATGCTAAATGTCACACAATCTTGTCTCTATGAGGTATTGCTTTGGGGCTGCTTAGTTGACTTCCATGTGTGGTCCATTAACTTATTTGTTTAAGTGGTCAATATTATAATTGCGGGGCTTGATACGGCGAGTCCATGTGTGGCTTTGGGTTGTGCAAATAAACATACTCTCCTGTTTTGAGATGCGTTTGGATCCGGGCCTGCTATTCGAGTGAAACGGCCTATTAAAGGCCCAGTCAATGATAGGTTACTTTCGTTTGGGCCTGTTCATGGGCATGCACTTGTTCATTATGTAATATTTGTACTTGTATTCGTTATATGGGCCTGTAATAATTTATAAATAAATGATTGAGGAGTTAGTGAAACGGGAAAGCGAGTATATTTTAATTTTCACCTAAATGGGTAGAAAATCTGTCCATAGGATCTATTTGATTTACCTACTATTTGTTTGACATGCCTTAACTCTATACACACATAAAAATCGCGCATATAGGAAATCACACACTTCACTTAACTTGTCTAATACATGTACATTATTCAAAGCATATTGGTTTAAGTAAATATTATACTTGTTTTCACGTCTACTGTTGTGCACTATTAGACAACATGTATATAGGAACCAAACGCCAATAATTACTTGTTTAGTTATTAGACAACATGCCTATAGGATGCAATAATACATGCCTTCGCTAATGTTCACCTAGATACTATGACTATAGGGCATTAACTAATTGACTAATTGTCCACTTCTGTCGTATTATTACACTGCCCTCCTAGATGATATGCCTATAGGAACAAGCATGATAAAATTGAGTTCAAACACCAACTATTAGAAATCTTGCCTATAGGATACTGTTACTCACCTAGGAAGCATGTCTATAAAATCTAAAGGTGGTAATCCTGAGTTTTCGAACTGTTTTACCGCCTCATTGTGCAAATAATTTAGAGATCATGCATGTAGGGTTTTGTAACACTTGTAATATGCAAACAACAACACTAACCGACACTCGAAATCAGAATCGCGTAGAAGCCATATCCATAGGACTTTATGACTCTGACCCATCTTAATTCCGACACTGCCTACTGCCTAATATAAGAATTTGCATGCGTGCCTTTGTTGCTTATGTGTGGAGGCTGACTTGAGCCCTCTATTGTCTTTATGTGTAGTTCTATGTATTTTGAATGTGCGCCTAGTTTTATCTTTTGAGCACCCTAAGTAAAGTCTAGAACCACCCAAATAATAGGTCCAAAGCCTCCTGGACCATAGGCACGGGACGAGTAGTGCACTCATAGGACGCGGTCTAGAATTGAATTAAAGCGCTTTAAGTAAACAACTTTAACATAGTAATTGGGTAGCATGAGATGATAGTATGTGCCCGCTGAATGATATGAGCAACCCCTTTAGGCTAAAAAAACTTAGGACCTCCCCCCTCATTTGTATGTTTATTATTCGCACTATGTCTTTTGAACTTATAATAATTAAGTTGTATCTTGTAACCTCTGTTGATACCCAATGTTGCTCTCATATTTTTTTAATAGTATATATACTTTCAAAATATCATTTTGCATCATTACTTAATTTACAAGAGTTATACAAGCATTTTCTATAATTTTTATAATTTTTAAAGTTTTAAAATTTATTTTCTTGCATTTTAATTACTTAAATTTGCATTAATTACCTCTTAAATTATTTTGTGATGACTTAATTTATCATTTACACCCATATATATGTTTTACAACATTTTTACTTCATTGCATATGATTGCATTTGCATTTTACCTATTTACACAATTTTTGTAAGAATAATCTACATTCTATACATAATTATATTTATTATATTATTTATGTTAGAATAATATTTTTATATTTTTATAATATTAAGCTATTATTTTTAGTATTTTATTGCATAAATAATATTTTTTGTTTTTTATTAATCACTTTTATAAATTATTGTTTCATAAATTTTGTATATTTAATTTTTATAGCCCAATGAAGAGCTAATTTTCGGACCAAACAGACCCAAATCCATGACCCAATCCCTTAGCCCAAACCAAACGACCCTTTTGATTTAACCCGGTCGCGACCCGTTAAACTAACCCGCCCCGCTCGATTATTAATCTTGGTCGTTGATTTTGAGAGATCAACGACCCACAACTACCCTACCACTTTTAACTACCCAACCCCAAACCCTAATCCCCATTCTCCTAAAGAGAGTCACCCGTGTTTCCCTCATCTCTCCTCCTCCCTCCTTCAGAAACCCTAGCCGCCTTCACCAACCTTCCCCGAATCCGATTAATTCATGGATTCCTGCCATGATTCACTTATCTTTTATGGATAATCTTGTAGTTCTTTACAAGATTATGGTATTACATAGTACCTGTCCTATTTTTGGCAAGCACCAATCTTCTGAATCAAGAGAAATCAGACTCACTCCCCAAGATTCAGACGTTTTTTCTTCTATATACACTCATGGCAAGATTATATGGGTCTGATTTACCAAGATTCTTCGGCCAATCTAAGATTTTGGGCAGAACTTGGGTTTGCCTGATTTTTCTCCTAATTTGGTTCTAAATCGATTATGCATGCTTTTCTTTCCTTATTTGTGTTTGATTGATTATATTTCCTTGTTTGTTTGTTCAATTTTATTACTATATAAATCCATCCCCCAACTCCCCCAAGACAGATTATTTGATCACTATTTTTTTAATATGTTTTTTTAAATATTTGTGACTTATAATAATATCTTTTTATGTAATTTTAAATATGTGACTTTTATTTCAAAAAACTTAGATCTTATTTTCTGAAATTACGATTAAAAATAAAAAGTTTGACACATAACTTAAATTCATATTCAGAGACATAATAAAATGCAATTACAATTTTCAGAATATATACTAGCTGCTAGGGAGAAATACTTTTAAATACTGCAGTAGAGCCCTTTTTCCATCTCTATTCTCTTCCATGTGAAATCCTACCCCTAGAGAAGCAGTAGAGCGCGGGAAAACACATAGAAAATGGAGGACATTACCAGTGAAAGAGAAATAGCTGGAGCTCTCAAGTCGAAAGTCGCGATTCAATGTGCCAAAGCTGCAATTCTAGTCTCATCGCTGAAGAACACTACTCTAAATTCTGCTATCATTGACCAAAACAAGGTCTTCATTTTATTTCCGTTTCCATGCGTTTGATTTCGTGGATAGCGATTCTTTTTAAGTTTATGATTTTTGATGATTTCAGAATGAGGAGAATTCAAAAGAGGTGGAGGAACTGAAGATGAAGATTTTGAAGGAGAAATTGAAGAATAAGAAACTCAAATTCTGCAGCGTTACGGAGTTTTTGATTCAAGTTATGGTTTTACTCTCTATTTGGACCATGCTTCTGTTGCTGGCCTTGAACTGATCTAGTCCTGTTATATCAATTCATGTTGTGGCTCTGTTCGGTAATCTGTGTATTTTGATTTTCGATGTGTTGAAATAACGTTTTTCATTGAAGTGTATTTGCTTGTTAGGTGTAAAATTCTAGAAGTATCATTGGATCGAGAACTGAGAATTTAATTGAAATACTGCAGATATTCGAATTGCATGATTTTATGGTTATGGCGTTTGTTTGTGGATAAATTTCCGTTATCTAACATGAGATTTTTTTTCCCTTTTTGCCGTAGAGCATATTTCTGATTCATTAGATTGCGTGGTGGATAATGCTTCTCTGTTTGTAATGGTATAATTGCAACTGTTAAAGCAGTAGATTGCATTTGTTTAACTTTATCTATTTCCAATTTGCTCGTGCAAGTAATCTGTTGTTTCTGGAACTTATCATTTGCTGTTTACTTCCAATTAATTGCTCACTCTAAATGGATCTCTAGTCTAGAAAGGGATTCACCAGTAAAAATAGGTGGAGCTATTTTTTTAAAATCTTATTTATATTCTTTTTCCTTGAGGATTGGTAAAGTTAAAAAATGGACTCTCTGGTCTAGAAAGGAATTCACCAGTAAAATAAGTGGAAGAATTTCCCTTTTTTAAATCTTATTTCTAATTATATTTTTTTTAATAACCGTAGTGTCCGAGTCAGCTTGCATACACCTCAACTAGTTGCACGAGATAGCTAACACCTCAACTAGTTGCACGAGATAGCTGACACGTCCCACCAACAAGAGGTACCATGTAACTTTATCTCCCAGGACTTGGATCCTCGTTACGTTAATGGATGAATTCCCGAAATGATTTAAGACATAAAAGTGGGACAATGATGATTGGAGATAATATTTTATGTATGCCAAAAGAGGCTACGAACCAGTGCTCTATCACAAGAGTACATGACCATGATAATGAATATATGCGGTATGTTAGCGTTGATCAATATTTAAGTGAATTGAGATCAAGAAATTAATTATGTGAGTAATTAGTTAAATATTGGATTAGTGGGAGACATAACTTTCCCAACACCACAAATGGAGTGCTTAGCGTACAAGATGTACACGTGTATAATTCATCACTTAATATTTTTTTGACTCTAATGAGATTTAAACATGAGAACTCATGATTTCCGTTCACTTCATTGATCACTAGGTCACACCCTTAGGTATTTCTGATTATATATATTCTTATTCCTCGAGGATTGGTAAAGTTAGTGATCATGGGCAGTGGCGGACCCAAGTGGTAGATAGCGGGTTCAACTGAACCCGCTTCACAAAAAAATAATATTGTGTATATGTATAAATTAATATTAAAGTTGTGTAAATTTTGCATAAATATTTTATTTGAACCCACTTGATAACTACTATTTTACTACTAAATTTATATATTTCTAAGATTTAACCCGGTTGCACAAAATACTGGGTCCGCCATTGATCATGGGTAAAAGATGGTCATTCTTCTTCTTTTTTTGGGATAAGCATATGCTTATGAATAGTAAAACGATGCAAGTAAAGTTGCAACTATTAGGTTACTATTCTTATTCTAGTTCTAATCTTAAAAACTAGCAGGATTCAATACCTGGTGCATATGTTGGGTTTCCTTTTGTTGCCTTCTTTAAAAGGCAGGAAAAGACACCGTAAATAACTGGTAGAGTCACTTTCTAACACTTGGATATGGAAATGAAAGTGATCAAGTAATATGATGATACAAATTAAAGTGCCCATGAAGACAGAAGTTTAATGGGTGGAAGTGACAAATGCTTAGATGTGGAAACTTGAACAGCTAAAAAGTTTGTCTCCTAGTCTTATTCAACAGCTGATAAATAAAGTAGCAGGTTGGAATAAAAAAATCCTATACAGTTGTAATAAAGAAATCAAAAACATCTTGCTTAAATAATGGACCAGTAGGCAGCAGCAACCTCCTCTCACCTTTCCACACTCCTACCTGCCCTTCCTATATTCTTTCTTTCTTATAGAGAGACTTGCTTGATGTCTCATTTTACCTCAATTTCACGAAAACAATGATCCCTTTTCTTTGGTTAATACTTCTAACACACATTAGATGGGTAAATACCGCAGATCTAGCAAATGTTTCAACTTCACAAGTCCAAAACATATTCATTTTAGCTGGACAAAGCAATATGTCCGGCCGAGGTGGTGTCACTAACCATGGCCAAAATGGCATAGTTAATGAAACATGGGATGGTGTAATTCCACCAGAATGTCAATCCAATCCAAATATCCTCAGACTCAGTGCAGGATTTACATGGGTTGAAGCTCAAGAACCACTTCACCAAGACATAGATTTGGGTAAAGTTTGTGGGGTTGGGCCAGGAATGTCATTTGCCAATTCAGTTCTTGAGAAAGATCCAAGCTTTGGAGTGATTGGTTTGGTGCCTTGTGCTATTGGGGGTACAAATATAAGTGAATGGGTTCGTGGGGGTGTTTTGTATAATCAGATGATAAGAAGGACAGAGGCTGCGTTGCAAAGAGGTGGGAAGCTCCAAGCTTTGCTATGGTACCAAGGTGAGAGTGATACCCAGACTCTTGAGGATGCCAAATTGTACAAATTTAGATTAAAGAGATTATTCAAGAGTGTGCGCCGTGATCTACAGTCACCTACTTTGCCTGTGATTCAGGTAATTGAAAAAAATATCTTTAGTCATTCAAACAATAGTTGGCAAAGGTTTTTTACTAGTAAACTTAAGGTACGTTTTATTTTAAATGTATAAAATTTTAAGTAAGCATCTTAGGATTATTCTAGATTTAAGACGTAAAATAATTGATTTGACGCTCATACTTTCAACATCACTTTTTATTAATTATCTGGGACGGAGGGATTCAGTTAGCAAGTTTTGGATGTACCGCATGAAAATTCGAGGTGGCCTAGAATGGTTGCTCTCTTTCTTTTTCGGAAAACCCAAGGTGCTTTAATTTAAAGATAAGGGGTTCAAATTCAATCCTGTGCAACTCTTTTTAATGTCATTATTGGAGTTAGTTAAGAGTGGTCCATGTCTTATTGTATTTATTAACGCAAATTGAATACTTTGGTTAATTTATTTGGTTGGTGTGGGTGTAGGTAGCACTGGCATCATCTCTAGGGCCTTATAAGGAGCAGGTTAGAAAAGCTCAACTGGGTATTAATCTTCCAAATGTAAGAACCGTTGATGCCAAAGGGCTCCCAGTGGGCATGGATTATGTGCACATTACTACACTGGCACAAGTCCATCTTGGGCAGATGCTGGCTGATGCCTTCCTTCAGACTCAGACTACTCAAGTCGTGCTTCTGCCTATTCAGACAGAGACTACTATGACTAGTAATGCCCCCAAACGATGCTCCAATTTTGTTTTGGATGTTCTACTTAGTCCATTTAGATGATGCAGCTTGGAGATTTACTTGTGGGATCAAGATCACGTACCCCGTCTATATATGGTTGTCTCACCTAAGCCAAAAGTTAAGAGCGCTTAAAACCATAGGTTGGGATCATACCAAATCAACAAATAGTTTCTTAGATATTGTTAACAGGAGTACAAAGTTACCATACGTACATGATACTCAAAACTAAGAGAAGGCCAACATATCCCATAACGTTGGATAATATTGAACATAATCTTCCAAGTGGACATGGAGCAGCGGCACCTGCTTGGTTACACTCTATTCACTTCGTTTAATTATACTTTCCCAAAAGGCACAAACCAAAAATTAATTTCATTTTTTATAAAGCTCAAGTCTTGATGTATGTATACTTCGCACACTTGCACATACAGTATATATGTGTTGGTGAATATTTATTCAATTCATGGTTTCACTTTCTGATGATTCTTTGTTTTTCTCCTTAAATAAGGCCTGTGGTTGATGGGTTATGCTTCTCCGTGGTATTACGCTGAGGAGTAAATAGGTCCGATATGATGTACTAAAGCTTCCAACTTTTGCACCAATGAAGTATTGGCTATTACTGCTTGCCTCTTTAGTACTGATTAACCTTGGTAGATTGACGATACATTATTATCTCTTCTGACGAGAGATCATTTGCTTTTGCTTACTAGTTTAACAAGGTTGGACTAACTTAATCACTCCCAAAGAAGGAAAAGTAGTCCCGTCAATGTGATAATTAATTGCAAAGCGGTTGTTGCCTCCGCAGACTTAAAATGAAGGCACCGCTGTTGAAATATCTGTACTAGTAGTATCATTTATAGGTACCTTCTTTTCATTACTGCCGCAAATGCATCGTGTAATTGCAGCGTGTGGTGCGGCAAGAATGAGCGGCAGTCAAAAGGGAAACCGAAAAGGCGGCAGTGATTTTCAGATGAATATAAAATTGGTACAACGCAATATTTGCAGCATCATAAGGGACTAGAGAACTCCCAAGTGTATTTTTTTCCAAGTCTCAAGTATCTTTATTTCCTCATAGTAGTGCAACTTCAACAGAGGCATTTATGACTGCACACGAGGATGAGTCATATACTTTGTCAAATTACACCTCTAAATAACGAGGAAGTTGACGTTTCTTTTTTCCTATAATGCAATATAGGAGGTTTTTTTCTTATGACATAAAAATAGGGGAGGGAAAGTCATCTGATTCTGATGTTTCATTTGAAATTAGTGTTAGGAGACACGGAATTTCTATTTGTGTGTGCATATGTTGGGCAGGAGATGAGCGGCAGCGGTGGCTTTGTGCTTACAAGTCTTTACCAATCTAATGGAATCTCCACTCGGCCTTAAAAAAACCACAATCAAAGATTAAGTACAACAAAAGCTAAGCTAATGCAGTTTGGAAGCACATAACAAAAATAAATGTAGCTCTACGCAACTGGTGACTTTACACTGGTGCACGTCCTCTCCAACCGAGCTCTAATCACATTATTTCTCCCAGAATTTTTTTCACACATTAATTGCAGTTATATACAGTTTTATTTTTGGGGGAAGTAAAATTCTAGTTCCTTGCAATGTGGAAAGCAGCCAGCTATACGTCTGCAATCAAAGAATCAGCGCACACACATTTCCAGGTCAAAGTTTCAGATTCTCTAGGAAGCTCTGCACTGGAGTGGGACATCTTCACCTGAGAAAGGATAAAATTAATATTTAAGGCTTTTGCCAGATAAGCTATTCCAGTGAGAAACTAAAATAAGGATGCGAGGCATGTGGCTAAACGCCAAAGGAAATACAGATGTACTATAAGATATAACGACAGAAATGAATCAGAACGGAAAATGTACACCATCTCTCCTGATAAAGTTGCAAAAACACAAAACCTGATCACTCTTCTATTTTTTGCTTCTGACAAGTTATAAANAGATCATTTAATGCATGGGAGCTGATTGATAATGTTTTCACAGTTATGAGAGGAAGATAGCATACTGTTACTTTTGAAAGGTTTGTGCATATCAGAATGAAATAACACTTCATTTTTGTTTCTAAAAAGTGCAAGAAAATGTTTGCCCAAAACTCTGTGCTCGCTCGGTAGCTGTATCTTTACATAGACAAAATATTTAATGCATTGGGAACAGACTGAAAGTGTAACAGCACAGCATGACAAGAAAAACAATAAAGTCTTTTTCTTGAGGTTTCTGCAATCAGAATAAATAGTAGTACCTCTAGCCAAACGCATAGGGATCATCAGCATATGGATTCAGAGATCCTTCCGAGAATAAATCACCTATGTTTGCAGGTTTTGGATGACTTCCTCCTTTAATGCTCTGCAAAACATATACGAATAGTAGAAAAAGCTGAGCATATTATAAATGGAGATTTGTCTGTCAGTCATTACTCTTTTAGCTAGTTAAGCTCTTGAAGCACCACTAAGGAGACGTGCCCGATTCTTAGATCAAGCCACAAAGGACCATTAATGGAAAGTGAAGACAAACAAGTCAAATACTGATTCATATCCTGATAACCTCTCTGTGAGTCTTGAATTTTGGTGTCTCTTTATGATTGTGCTTTAATGGATTCTTTAAATATAAAGGTTAGTCATCTCAGCATTGACATGACAACAGGGTAGTAACACTGATATATTGGAATCTGGTAACAAAGGCAGGTGAACACAAAGCAAGTCAATGAATGAGTCATACCCTGATAACCTCTCTGGGAGTCTTCACTTTTGGTGTCCTTTTCTTCTTGTTCTTTGATGGATCCTTTCATAATCAGTAATATAAAGTTTAGGCTCATCGTACATTGGCGGGCCAGAAGTCTAGAAACTGACAGATTGAATCTGGTAACAATGGCCAGCAATGCTGCTAAGGATTCAATTTTACGTACATCAAACATGACTGTGCTTTTCGTTTTTCTTCGTTTTGTGATTGTTCTGCCATTTGTGGTTTCAACTTCATATTCATGATGAGTCACCTGCAATTTACGAAGCGATCAAGAAAAATAAGTGAGATAGGACACAAAGACCAATTTAGGTGTCTGTGATGATCAACTGAAAAGGCTAAATGCAGAAATAACCATGCAGATCTTAAGAAGGTATGTTCACCAAAGGGGATGAAATCAGAGCATAAGTAAGATGCTGAAAATCAGTTATCTAATGCAAAAATAATCTGTAATAAATCTGGGTTGCATGCACTGAGATAAGGCATCAGCTAACTCATTCTACAGCACTAAGTGCTACTTATTCTCAAAGCTAATTTTGCAGAAAGCTAATTAAGGGGAACCGTTTGGATTACAGATAATTGCAGTTAGCCACTTACCTTCCTACTATGTTTGGGCATACTAATAACACTTCCTGTATTCACCTTCTCCACTTTCCTCAACAAATTTGATACAGGTGTTTGACTTCCTTCCAGATAATGTGCATCCTACCAAACCGTTGAGATATAAGCTAAGATCAGCAAGCTAGACAGAAATATTGAAAGGCAACGAGAATAGTATTTTGCTTTGCATGTTTACCACATCCTTAGCTTCAGCTCTCACCGGTGCAAGCTGGCCCTTTTTGCAACTATCAGATTGGTTTCTTTTGGTCAATGACCCAGAGTGCTTCTGCAGATTTCACAAATGTTCAGCACTAATAGTTGAAGTTAGATTTATTTACCAAGTTGGCTGTATTTAACGTGTTCAAAATCCCCTCAAGTAAGCAATCAAATTAATCCTTCCACATCTCTTTCAGTTTCAGATCAGAAATATATAGCAAGTTGTGAAAATCTCTATCATAGGTCAAGTGGAGTCTTTATTTGTTCTCATGTAGGAGCGAGTCATATCCAAAAGATCTCTGGTAGACGAATAAAACTTGTAGTTAAAACTTCAGTGGACAACAAGATACAGATTAGAAGACACAAGTTGAACCATTATAACACAAATATACTTCTGTAGTTGTAGTGTTACCTAATAAGGAAGAGAACATAATCTATTTGTATATAAATTAAAAACTGATCAATCAGCAGATTTATATGCTAGTGTTTCAACTGCAATAACTTCCTACAGCTATGTGGTGGTTGATTTCTGACAATTTGATAGTTCATTAATTACAGTACGATATGCTTTGATAATCAAATTTAAATCCTCAGAAAGTTCTATTAAATCAGAAAGGATCCACTAAACTATGTAATGATTGCTGACAGCAACTGGGTGAAAGATGGCCAATGTTAAATCTTAAAAACAAATATTTCTAAAAACAATCAAACAGAACCTCCTTCTAACCGGAGAGAATAGGAATCTTTTTTCCCTCTTGTGGCCGGGGGCGGTCTATGCATCTAAAGAATAAAGAGTCAAACCTTCTTTGAAGTCACTTCTTCCTCTTCCGGATTATTTCCCATTACTTTCCATTGCAACTGCAACAGAGCCCTCTGTTTCTCCTCCTGAGATAAGACACAAGTACAATAAGACAAAAAATCACTGTGAGTAGAAACTCATTTAAAACATACTTTAGACTTCAGCATATCCAACTCCTCCTGCAGTCTTCTGCATTCATCCTCAAGCTCAAGTCTCAGAGCTCTTAACTGAGCTTCATGCTCATTCCTCATTGAACTTGTTTTCTGAGAGAAATATCACACCTCAGCGACTAAGGCAATATGCATGCAGAATAATGAGCTAAGACACAAAAACAAAGCTGAAGAAAGTTTACTTCTCTCAGTTCATTTTCATACTGAAGTCGGACACGTTTTAGCTCTTCATTGTGACTGGAAACAAGACTCATTTCCTTCTTGCTGTGTTCTTGTTGAATATGACATACCTGCGGCAAAATGCTTCAGCTATAGGCTAAATGAAGTCTGTTTTCAACATATTCATACACTTCTGTCTTTGAAGCCCAAGAAGTGCTGGGTGTCTTATCTGAATTACATAGTAAAGCAAGCAGAAGGTTTTATGTTTCTTTGGCAGCATACTTAGCCTAACTGGCTGTCTGGACTCCAGATACATGGTGGGCAAAATAGAATCCATTAGATCTGACAAACGGGATAAGTACAATAATCTTTTAATGTGTTAGGCGACCAAACTACTATAACTGATGATAAGTTAATAATAGCCAACATGTTCTTATAGATATTTACAGTCTAGCATGAGAAAAGGTTATTTAGGAAATTAAATAGAGTTGAAGTTTGGGAAAATGCTTCCTTGAAGGTAGCTTCTACATAAGCGTGAAAAATCACATTTTAGTTGCCCACTCGCAATCTTGATTCCAGTTGGCAAACTACTCATAAAATCACGTTTGAACCTCAAGTATCATTTCAAACCTTGAAATGTTGTTCCTAAGAGGATCTAAGCAAGATCCTAAATTCATTTTCGTTGAGAAGCATGATAACACAATAATTCTAATAAATGAACACAAAATATTTACATGAGGATCATCGTGCTCAAGAGTTTCCCTACAACCTTAACAAATAAGTGTGAGAATCATGAAAGAGTATTGAACTTCAATGCAACTGAAACACTAATATCTGACAGGAGTCAAACTAGAAGACACAAAGATAAACCTGAACTGTGTGCAAAAGAATAACTTTGAAAGAAGGGATACAGTAGAATAATTAGAGTGTTAATCTTGGAATTTATTAGAAAATATAGAAGTTTTCATGACCCTAAGAAGCAAATGATAATTGTACATCCTTTACCATACATACCAAAGCAGCATGTTCTTCCTGTACATGCTTCAAGTTCTGATTAGATTCTTCTCTGTATTCCAACAGCTTTAACTCACAGTTTCTTTCCATCTCTCCAATAATTTTTTCAGCCTGAGATTAATAAATGAAGTGAAAGGCGAAGATATATTTCCAGTCAAAATATGCTTCAACATAAGAATCAATAGCTACCTTCTCCTTCTCTAGATTGATACTTTCCAACTTCTCCAAGTCATACTTCCTCCGGATGTCACTGATGGCCTGAGAAAGATCCTACGAGTGTAACTTGTTGGATAGGAGCAAACATATACAGAAACACCAGATAGAATATTTTAAGATTAACCTGATCATTTTTCTGAGATAATTCCTTTAAATGCCTAGAAAGTTCTAGTTGTTTGCTTTCTAACATCTGATCATGCTGCTTTTTAGCTTCTGCAAGGTTGCTTTCAGCAGCAAGCAAAGATGCTTGAATCTGCAATAAGGTACAAAACACAAGGCATTTAAACACACTGTATTGGATTTAGTAGGATCTGTAAAACTAAAGGTATCCATAGAAAAAACCTTTTCTCTCTCAGCTTCCAATTGTTTCTGCCTGTCCTGAAGTTCCTGAACAAGCTTATCTTTCTCCTCCAATTTATTGTTAATCTCTGCAACATGCTTCTCCAGTGATTCCACTGTTTCTGTGTACTTGTCAATTTCCTTGCGTAAAATATGGATTTCATCTTCCTTTTTCTGCATGTCTGATTGAAGCTTTTCAATATGGTCCTTGTTATCTGTTTCCATCTCAGAGAGTTTCACCAATAAATTTTGCTGCAAGATATGAAAATTGATCTTGTTATGTTTAATCAGACACTGTTACTAATGAATGTTCTGTGAGAAGAATTAACCATTTCATTCTCCGATAGTTTTGAATTTTCTGATAAAGCGACAACATTCTCCTGCAGCTTGCTAATCAGCACTTCCATCTCCATCTTCTTGGAAAGAAGCAGTTCTGCTTCAGACTCTAATTTTCTAATCCGATCTTCTGCTAAACGGGATTCTTCAGCATGCTGCACCATTGCACATTCCTGCTCGTTCTGAAGTGCAGAGACTTTGTCCTTCAAGTCCTTATTAGCTAACTTTAGAGAATTTTTCTCTGATATAACGCTTGTATATTGATCCTGGAGCTTGTCAAACTTTCGTTGAGCATGCCGAGCAGCAAGTTCCCCCTTCTCTCTCATCATTTCAAATCCAGCGTCAAATAAAGCATTAAGCTGAACTATCTTCTCCGCAAAGGCGAGACTTTGACTATCCAAATGAGTAAACTTTATCACCATTTGATTCACAAACTCATTAAGGTTCTTTATCTCCTGAAGTGATGTATCTAATTGTTTGGCAAAGTTGCTATTTCTAGATACCAAATCACTTCTTTCTTTATCCAAATTCTTTTTGACATTCCTCAAGTCCTCCAGTTCATCTTCTTTTAATCTTGATTCGAGATGTAATTCTTCCAACTTGGACTTCAAATTCTCCACTGCAAGTCCATTAGCTGCTACAGTAGCTTCGAATTCCTTGATCGTGGCATCTTATAAAAAAAATAAGAGAAAGAAACAAGTAAATAAAGGGAGAAAAGTATTTAGAACTGAGAAAGTTACCAAGAGGTAATTATCACAAAAAGTAGAGATGTTAAGATCTGTGTCAGTAGTAGGACATCTCTGCGCAGAATGAAGCATAACATGAAAAATTTCTCTTTCTGATTAACTAGACAAATGACCTTAAAGAGCACTAATACCTCTTTAGGAGACACCAAGTCTATGAAAAGTTTTATAGTTAAATGAATGTTAAAGGACACAATATGAATCCAATGGATGGAGAAGAACTTGAAATGACAGACGACTTCAAGAGAATTGTCAAATGCAACTGTTTCCCNCCCCCCAGGTTCATAGAGGAGAAACTATGGGCTTTGGTATAGCTACAGACCAGTCTACGAGCTTTCTTATGTAGTTAAGAGCAGTCACACATAGATCATTCAAAAACAAATTAACCATGTAATAAAAGTGAAATAGAATGTGGACTGCTTAAGTCCATATTGAATCAACCAAAGGGACAGGCACTTAAAAGACAACAGAATTAACATAAATAAATAAAAAAGAAGAGGGGATTAGCTAGTTGAGGCAGACGGTAGAACCATTTTTTTGTACGCAACATCTGCTATTTATCGAAAGTTGAGGTACAAGCACAAAAGCTCTTAGATCATAGCTATTTACCTTTCTCCTCAATTACACTGATACTTTTGCTCTGTTCAACCCTGAAAGAGTTCTCCATTTTCTCCTTCTCGATACCGAGTTCATTCAGCTCCCTTTTACCTTTATTGACAACCCAAAAACATGTTAGGCAACTTTAAACATTAGTATCTAAGAAGCATAAACCTCTAGTTATTCAGTAGCATATATGGTATCTAACTACTTAGAAGCTTCTCAATTGGTGATAAAAATATATCGCATAATAAGGCATTATTAACTTACAATTTCTAACAGTTTCTTCAGAGGATTCCAGCCTCAAAGAGAGGGCTTTAATGTTGTCCTGCAAGTTATCAATAACAACAGAAGTTGCAGATCGTCTATCTTCAAAAGATGCCTTGTCTTTTTCAGCTGTAGAGTCAAGTGCACAATCCAAAAATATTAAAAAGCCAGAAAGGATTGTTCTATCTGCTTTGCATCCGGATATTCTTCAAAGGAAAGTTACGGTGACATACCATCCTGAACCACACCAGCTAGGTGCTGTAAAGTTTCAGTTAGCTGATCACACAAAGTCTTTGTTGAAGAAAATTTAGATTCCAGCCCTTTCCAAAGCTTCTCGTCTTCTTTCTGCTTCACTTTCAACTTAGCATTTTCATTGTACGCATTTTGCAACTTTTCTTCCAGCATATGAATATCTTCAATCAACTTCTTCAATTTAGAGTTCTGCATTCAATTATGAGACGCACAGTTATAAAACAAGTGAAATTACAAGTCATTAGGCCTCAAAATTCAAGCATAAAACCTAAATCCTAATAGCAGTATATTATTAATAGAAGCCTTTGTATGTTCTGTATAAGCCTACACCTGACAGCTGTATCTATGGGGACCAACACATGCCACACGCATAGAAAGATGCACTCATGCAAGCGTACACATACACACGCACTCACACACACAAACCCGTGCATTGGTGTACAAAATGGAACATTTCAACGAAATTACCGCCAATTGCAGATCAGTTTTAGCAGAAGCTTGCTCCTTCACCAATTTCTCTGTTGACGATAGAAACAAATGAGCAATTTATTTTAAGAAGTAGCATACATTTTTTCAGAAAATTTAGAAAACTAATACATTAATCAACTAATAACCTGCTGTAAGCTTCAAATTCGCAAAACTTCCAGAAGAAACCATGTCAGCGGACATGCGCGTCGTTATCGGCATGGCTTTCGCAGCTCCTAAACCAGCTCCGGCCAGCGATTTGAAGTGATCGCGGCCTTTCATGCCTGATAATCCTAAAAGCTTACTCATTTTCTAATAAAACACAAATAATCGCCGAATTTCCCAATATACACGACGTAGGAATCCTTCTACGTTGATTTTGTGGCCTAATCGATCACAAAGCAAGGATGTAAAACCCTAGAAATCGAAAACATCGAAGCGATCGGCTCTGTGAACTTAGCTTTTCGTTTTCGTGTTGAGTAAGAAACTGTATCGGAGAAGAAAATTCTAGAAAAGGAATCTCGAAGAGAACGTCGCCTGCGATTCTGTGAGAATGAACATTTGAAATGGAATGGCGCGAAGGAAATGGGATATTTATAGAGATGGTTGGCCGGGGGAGATATTTCATGTTTCTTTTACATAGCGGAAAAATAAAAAGAAGTGGGAGAATTGCAATTTGGTCCCTTGATTATAAGAAATATGTAATTTTATCCCTCAGTTCATTGATTGATAATTTGATTATAAAGGCTTCATTTGCTTGAAACAGGGAAAGGGAAGGCAACAAAGTGAGAAATGAAAAGTATGAGAAGGGAAAACAGAGAGAAAACAAGGGAAAGCTTGTATTGGATTATAAATAGATACTCTATTTTTGTTATATTTGTCTACCTTTTTTTAATAACCATATGAATCTGAAACCCATTAGTTGAAGTAATATAAATTTGCACTAGGCAAGACTCGAAATTAAAACATTTAATTAATGATAGAGGATCTCATCATCCATCCGTGAACACCTAATTTTTCACTATATTTGAATTTTGATCACCTTCTATTGTGTAATTATTTTTAAAAATTTAATATATATTTTTTAGCCTTGTTACTTTTTTTTTATATATAGGATTAAAATTAAAAATAATTTAAAAGGTCAATTATTACTATTAATATTATTTTATTTTTATTTTTATCTTTTTTTTTAAAATAAAATAAATTAAAAAACAAATAAATAAATAAATTTTTAAAATTTTTTTTGGATGGGAATAAAAAATAGGAAAATTAGAAATATGGAATTTAAAAGTAAAAGTAAAAGTAGGTGGAGATTGTTTAATAAAAAAGTAAAAGAAAGTGGAAAATAAAAAATAAAAAATAAAAGAATGTGGAAATTTAAAAAATAAAAAGTAAAAGAAAGTTGGAATTAAAAAATAAAATTAAAGGTAGGTGAAAATATAAAAAAAAAGTAAAATAAAGTGGAAATTAAAAAAAAGAAAAGTAAAATAAGTGAAAAATAAAAATTAAAAAAACTAAAAAAAATGAAAATTTAAATATAATAAAAATAAAAAGAGGAAAATTAAAAAATAAAAGTAAAGAAAAGTGGAGAATTTTTTTTTAAAAGGAAGAAAAATGGGAAGTGGGGCATTTTTAAATTAAAAATAATAAAATAATTAAAAAAACTGAAAAAATTTTAAAATTTTTTCTATAAATAGAAGAGAAAATGTGTAACGACCAGGCCGGTCATTTCGATAGTTATAACCCCATTTTCCCCATTTTTACTACTCTTTTTGTGTCATTCAGCTATATTATGTTGTATTGGGTTAGTTGGTTCGAGTCCGGAAGGAACTCAGAGTGAAATGAGATACTTAGTCTCATAATTGAAAAACTTTAAGTTAGAAAAGTGGACCGGATATGGAACTATGTGTAAACGACCTCGGATTTGAATTTTGATGATTCCAATAGCTTCATATGGTGATTTTGGGCTTAAGAGCGTGTCCGGAATATTATTTGGAAGTCCGTAGAGGAATTAGGCTTGAAATGCCGAAAGTTTTATTTTTGAGAAGTTTGACCGGGGGTGACTTTTTGATATCGGGGTCGGAATCCGATTCTGAAAATTGAAATACCTCTGTTATGTCATTTAGGATTTGTGTGCAAAATTTGAGGTCAATCGGACGCGATTTGATAGGTTCCGGAGTTGTTTGTAGAAATTAGAAATTTCAAAATTCATTAGGCTTGAATTGGGGCATAATTCATGGTTTTAGAGTTGTTTGAGATGATTTAAGGATTCGACTAAGTTCGTATGATGTTTTAGGACTTGTTGGTATATTTGGTGGAGGTCCCGAGGGACTCAGGTGAGTTTCGGATGGTTAACGGATAAACAATTGAACTACAACAACTGCTGCAATTTCCTTCTGTTGGAAATTTCTTCTGCCAGAATCGAGCCCAGAAATCTCTCAGAATCGAGCCCAGGGTCGAGGGCCACGATGGAAGCCATGATCGAGCCCAGGGTCGAGGGCCATGATCGAACCCATGGTCGAGGGTCACGGTCGAAAGTCGGATCGAAGACATTATCGAAGGCCTAGGATCGAAAACCAAGATCGAAGGCCTAGGATCGAGAACCAGGATTGAGGACCAGGATCGAAGGCCAAGATCGAGGCAGAACCGAGGTTGTCTGGGCAGAATTATAAAAATAGGGACTTCGTCTCATTTGCTATTTTTGACAAATTGGATCTTGAGGAGAGGCAATTTTTGATATATTTTCAAGAAAAACTTGAGATAAGTCCCTTGTGATCATTTCTACTCCATAATATTGAATTATCATCGAATAATCCGACTAGATTACATGATTTTGAGGCGTAAATCGGAGATTGGAACTTAGAAATTGGGAAATAAGATTTGTAGATTTGAGGGTCGAGTTGAGGTCGTATTTTGGTAATATTGATATGGGTAGACTCGTGGTTGAATAGGATTTTGGATTTTATAACTTTTGTCGGGTTCCGAGACGTGGGCCCCATAGACAATATTTTAGCCAATTTCGGATTTTGGTCTAATTTTGAAGCCTTTCTTGTGGAATTCATTCCATTAGCGTATATTGATGGTATTATACTGATTGCGAATAGATTTGGAGCATTTGGAGGCCGAGTCCAGAGGCAAGAGCATTGCAGGGTAGAGATTTGACCGTTTTGAGGTAAGTAACGATTGTAAATCTAGTCGTGAGGGTATGAAACCCCGGATTTCGTATCATTCTATTGTTTTGAAGTGACGCACATGCTAGGTGACAGGCGTGTGGGCGTGCACTTTTGGGGATTTGTGACTTCGTCTGTCCCGTAGCAACTGTAAAGTTGCATACTTTGTTGAAACCATTTGATACTTATATGTTTTAGAAAGAATTTCTGTAAATTGGGCTGAATGCCATGTTTGGGCCTTG